TAATGACTACAATTACCTTTTAAGCCTATGAGAAACTTTCTGAGCACAATGAGCCACATAAAACAATGTTGCTCTTCAAAAGAAAGAAGAGTCAGGGATTTTCAAAAGCATGCTTCTGTAAAATAAATAGTATTGCAAAAGGAGCAAGGTTTAAACAGGTCAGGTACTTAACCAATATTATGCCAATTTATGTGATTATTTGGATACTATTGATACACAATTCTGGGTCCTGCATCTGCAGGAAACGGGCCTTTAAACATGGATTGTTTCATTTTTAATTGTGTGTGTGTTTGTGCACGCACGCGCACGTGTGAGTGCTCATACGTGCAATGCTTCCAGTGGTATCCAGAAGATGGAACAAGACACACCAAAACTGGAGTTACAGGGCTATGTGAGCTGCTTGATATAGGTGCTGAGAACAAAACTTGGTTCTTTTGCTAGAACTATATGCAATCTTAACTGCTGAGTCATTTATTTCTCCAGCTTGGTACTAGTTTATGTGCAATAATCATTACTTTTGAATTGTATATTAAAAAGGAAATGATTATAAATGCACATTTTAACTTTTTCTTTTAAAAGCTTTTAGAGTGTATTTAACTTCCTCAAGGTTTTTCTCTTATGCAAACAAGTTAGAAGTTCTCAAAATTGTAATACTATCACTATAAAAAATGAGATACAGTAGCTACATTCTGAAGTTGAATACTTCCATATGAACTACCACACTTACTGAAATTTTATGAAAAAAATTATCTGAGGACCTAAGAAGAAGAAAATGTCTACTCATGCATTTCTCACAAGTTCAGAGAGATGGATCTCATTTTCCATTGTGAGAATTTCTTGAGTTATTTAAGCTACATCTTAAAACAATTACCTCCAGGTAAACTACTGCGTGCCTAGACTGAATTTCTAGTAGCTCTCATTTTCAAACTGCAGCTGTATTTTTATGGAGAGTGTAGACTTTGCTGGGAGAATAAAATTGTTATCAAAAATGGCATTAAAAAGAATTAGAGTTATCATTGATAAAAGAGTGAACAAACAGAAATAAATCTATGGGACTCCTAACAGAGGGAGCAGCAGCCTGTCTCTGTGTTACCTGCTTTTAGGACCCTTTTCTTCTAATGGGTTGCCATGACCACCCTTAACAGAAGAGGAAATGCCTAGTCTTACTGTAGCTTGGTAAGCCATGGCTCGCTGATATACATGGGAGCCCTACACTTTTAAAAATGAAAGGAGTAGTGGATTGGGAGGAAGGAGAGGAGAGGATGGCTGAGGGGCTGGAAAAAGAGGAAGGAGGACAAAATGATAACAAAGGGAAATAAATAAAAATTGAATCCCTAACTTCAGATCCTTCTCTTCCAATTTAACCCTTTAAATGTCATAATTTCCCTGTAAATATCATCTTGGCTGAATTTTACAGATCTTCATATTTGAAGGGTTTATTTTTGTTTGACTCAAAATAAATACAAACCCTTATGACTTCAAATGGATAAGTATATTTTTAAATTTCCTAATGTTCATATATTTTTTCTTTTTATTTAAATTAGAACAAGTTTGTTTGACAAGTCAAACCCAGTTGCCTCTTCCTCTACCTCCATCCCATTCCCTTTCTGCTGCCCAGGGAGGGTGAGACCTTCCATGGGGGAATCTTCAAAGCCTGTCACATCATTTGGAGCAGGGCCTAGGTCCTCCCCCATGTGTCTAGGCTGAGAGAGTATCCCTCTGTGTGGAATGGGCTCCCAAAGTCCATTCATATGCTAGAGATAAATACTGATCCACTGCCAGAGACCCTACAGATTTTCTAGGCTTCCTAACTGACACCCACATTCAGGGGGTCTAGATCAGTCCTATGCTGGTCTTCTAGCTACCAGTCTGGGATTCATGAGCTCCCTCTTGTTCAGGTCAGCTGTTTCTGTGGGTTTCTCCAATCTGGTCTTGACCCCTTTGCTCATCACTCTTCCCTCTCTGCAACTGGGTTCCAGGAATTCAGCTCAATGTTTAGCTGTGGGTGTCTGTCTGGTTCTGCTTCCATCAGGTACTGGATGAAGGCTCTGGCATGGCATATAAGGTAATCATCAATCTCACTATTGTGGAAGGGCATTTAAGGTAGCCTCTCCACTATTGCTTGGATTGTTAGTTGGGGTCATCCTTGCGATGGCTCCCTCTATTGTGGTATCTCTTTTCTTGCTCTTCTCTATTCTTCTAAGAGAGAATGCAAATATTTCCCTAAGACAATTAAAAGTAAAATGTCCTCTTTTCATTACAATTCATGAACATATTTATTATCCTTTTACTGATAAAATGCATCCTGAAGCTGTTTTTCCCGTGGACATATGCTAGAAGCAAAGGAAATATGATGAATTTGCTTTGTAAAGAGTGTATTAGGGACAGTTGTTAGCCACGATGCCTGGTTAATGAATTACTTCTAAACTATGAAACATTTAACAGTAGAAGTTAAACTATATAGAGATAGCTAAAATACAAACTAAAGCAGAAAAAAACTTCTAATTTAAATTTTAAAGTGACATTTGGGTTCAAGTTCACTTTTCTCCATTTTGAGATTTAGAACATTAAATTATTGCCAATGAAATAAAGAGTAAAACTAATAGATCACAGGAGATTCCCAAAACTTTGTCAGCCTACTTGAATTGGTCATGAGATAACAAAGTCAGTAAGTAACAGAACAAGCCAGTATGGTGACTTTCATAGTAAATTGCTCTAGATGATTACAGAGAGGGATCATTCTGCTCTTTGGAGTTATGATAGCCTGTTCATGAGCAGCACAATGAGTCTGCCTCCATAGCCTAATCTCCCAAATGAGATTCATACAGGACCATCTGTAAAGACTCCAGGATCCAGTTGTTCCTGTGAGAAACACTACGCAAACCTCATGGTTCTAGGATGGGGATTCATCTTTCATAATCTTCTTAGAACATTCTCCAGAAATGTGGAGAGTTTTCTTTCCATCTGCTTATGTAAAAACAAACGTCTTAACTAGCATACTGACTTTGTTAAAACATACAATTTTACCTAGAGTGCTTATCAAATACTTATTTATGTATTTCTTCCACTGACAGTTCCTCTCTATTTAATTATTATCAGCATTTTAAATAGACTCATTCTCTGGTAGAGAGAATGCCAAGCAAGAGGAAAGTTCTTCAATAATAATCCTTCAGGGTTAAATATGGTGACTCTTAGCACACAGAACACCTGTCATAAGTCCATTTTTCTATGAGTACAGATGTAGAGTTCCCAACGCAGTAAAACAACAGGAACAGATGTTTCCAGGGAGCTTGCTAATAGCATTTCTTCTTAAAACCATTTCAGTTTTTATATATTTTCTGTTAAATGGCTAAAGGACAATGACTGTAAATGTACTGGAAAGTTCTTTGTATTCTCTAATTTGAGTTATAGCATAATAATTTAATTTGGGGTTTTCCATGTGCAAAATAAAATTTAAATATAATAAACAGACCTAAAGAATTCTCAAACATCTGACAAGAGTATGTTCAAAATCAATGAAAAGAATTAAAGAAGAAAAATTACATCTTAAAAATAAAACGGAGGTAGTACAATATGGTTGAAGATTAACAAAAAATACAGCATACACTAAGGCTGAAGATTAATTTATCTACCAGCACATTCTATTAATTGCCTACCAAGGTGTTTTCATATCATTCAAAGAGTCATCACTAAGTTTTTCTAATATATATTGGGATTGTTGCATATTTATGTTCGAGTTGCAAAGACTGCTTTAAAACAGGCTCTATGCAGAATCTGGAAACGCAATCAACAGAGAGCATGAGTGTGCTTGAACATACATATCATTAGTTCATTTAGCTACAGGATGCATTCAGTGCAAACATCTGTTCCCCAGTTGCACTGTGCAATGGTATTTTTGTTAGTGCTCTTGTTACTTTTCCCATTGTAAAGTTTGCTATTAACCATGATAAGTATATAATTTTACCTTATACTTTTCTCTTTTCACATATGTTACTGACATAAGATATATTGCTTATTTCTATTTCAATTTGGCACCACTTGCTATTGGCTTTGGTGAAGAATTAAATTCAAATTTTGAATGTTTCCCATGTGGATTATGAAATCCACAACAGAACCTAAAGAAAACACCCAGCTGAGTTGTATACACTATAGAGTTCATGAAACAGTAGATAAATGTAATGTGCTGGCTCCAAAACATGGATATTCCTTTTATCTCAAACATGAAATAGAATAAATCATTTAAAATAATATTAACATGTCCTGAAATGTAGGCATGAATTATGATTTGGTTGGAGTTCAAGCAGATGATTTTAATAGCAGTGATAAGAAAGTCCACATGGTATATATATCTACACTCTCAGAATTTTCAGCCTGAAATGAATTGTGAATATACTCAGGGATCTTTACAAAATGTTAGTTGTTGCCAGCTTGTTATAAACTCTTAAAGCTTAAACAACACAGTCCACTAGTTTTTAGGTGTGGTCTTTTGTATATGAGAACAGTTAACAGATCTTTATTCTTTGCCAGATCACCCCACCTGCCTTGCATGTCTTGTCATCTGATGATTATGTGTGTAGAGGAGACCATGTTGGCTTCAGTGAGAACATTTTCCACAAGTTCATATATTTGAATATTTGGTCCTCTGTTACTGGAACTACATAGGAAGGATTTAGAGGTGTGACCTTGTTGGAGAAAGTGTGTTACTGGAAAACTTGGTAGTCTCAAAAGACTTATACTTTTCCCAGTGTGCTCTCAGTCTCTGCCTCCTATTTGCAGATCAATATGCGATCTATAAGCTATTCTTTTGCTCTGTCACCATGGACTCTAAGTCTCTGAAACTGTAAGCTGAGTTAAACACGTTCTTTTGGAAGTTGCCTTAGTCATAGCATTGTAACACAGCAATAGGAAAGGAAGCATAACAGAGATCATTGCTTTGTTGATTTGGCAGTCTCTGGCTTTATTTTACCTTATTTGGAACTTTGTTCTGACAATTTCTACAGGTTCGTTGAATGCTCGTGCATGTGCTGAGGAGATAGTGGACGGGAGCTCAGTGGATACCAGCTCAAGCACTGCATGTGAGCTTCATGGTGAGTGTTGTCAATTGATCCTGAATATTAGTCAAATTGTTTTGATATGTGCTCTATATCTAGAGAACCAAGAATGAACTTGAGCTAGCTAGAAAAGAATATTTTAAAGAGAGACAAGAGGGCATATAGGAAAAGACTACATTAAGAGAAGCATGGCCCAGTGTATGTGTTGAAAGATAGCATTCGTGGTCCTAGTGTAGAACACAATGAGTTGGTGACAGTGATGTTTCATGGCAAATGCAACAACATATGCTATGTCTGTATTGTCAGTGGAATGCTATGAATGTGACTAATAGTGTTAAGTATCAGGAAAGGCATTGAACAAAGTGGCAATAGATTTAAAATGCTAACTGACTGCATGTTAGGAAGTGGGTTGAGTTGAGGAATGCATAAATTGGGAGCATCTTGAGAAAACATTGTTTACTGTTAATAGTATAAGAAATACTAAAATTTGAAATACGATCTTGCTGAATGCATATCATTTCAAACCAAGATGAAGCTTAAAAAACAATCCTAAATCCATATATCAAATTTGGGGACTATTTTGTTCCAATTACTACCTTCACTTACTCTCCTATAAATATTTCAATTCTCAATCTCTTCCACTAAGACTGCAGTTTTTCTGGGTATCATCTTATCTCACTGTTTTCTGTGCTTCTGTCACATGCTGAAGTCTCAGTGACACAGAGAGGATATGAAAAGGTTCTGGAGGCAGCTAATGGTGTGGTTTTGTTGTTGTTTTGTTTTATTTGCATCCTATTTTCCAATGGCGTCACAAACCATACTGTTACTTAACTTTTTCTTAAGTCTTGTGATGTGCAAAAGGGATTATCACAGGTGATGTTCCAGAATCTCCCCAAAGCATGTGATACTTTCCTTCCAACATTTTAAATATGAATTAGAAAAGCAAACAGATTTGCATGTCTACATTACACATTATTTACAGGCAAAGTTTTGTATTTTCTTTGTTACATCATTGACCCATTATAATTTTATTTAGGGGGATAGAAGTATTTCTTTAACACCAGCAACTTCACTAACCATAGCCCCATTTCAAACTATGTGTCTATCGAACTAGAAATTTATATTACAAACCATCTACTAAGCACAAAACACCAATTCACCAATTCAAAACTAGCTGAAAGGAAATGTCTCATTAAAAGTAAGGTTTTTCTTTCTTTTTTTTTGATCAGTGCTTTTCTGTAAGCTACACTGGATTCATTGTCAATGATTTGTCAAGCAGGATCCATTCCCTTTGGTAACTCAATTGCAAACACAGGTTCTTTTTTGCTAGTCATAACTATTAATATCAGCTTTCAGACCACACATTACCTATCACATTAAATTTTATCTATCCCCTTTGTGTAATACAAAATAAGATTATAATTAATATAAGAAAAACTATAAACAATATGTATGATAAATATATACAATATATAGGTAATAAATACATCAACAATGTTTAGTACATTTGCATTTGACAAATTCAGAGAAAATACTCCATCATCTATCCTATCTTGGTGCATCCAAAAGGTTGTACCTAATTCACTTTCTATTCTAATTTGCATTATCAAATTATCTTTTAATGTTTCTCAACTTTTGCAACATTCAGTTTCCAGCCACACTGAGGACAGTATTGCCCTTTTAGTCTGAGACAGAGGCTTTGCTTCTCTGATTCAGCTTTAACCCCAATAACTGTCTCTGGGTTTTTATTGTTCGTGCATTTAAGGCAGACTGTATCAGCGGTGGGTATAAAGCTCATCTGCTACTCCTGGGGCATCAGGAGTCCTCTGCTGGTCCACTGATGCACACAGCAGATGACAGGTCAGTGGGGCCATCACCATCACAGTGTTATATGTCCTCTTTATGAGGCCCTGGTCAAGGTACGTTTTCTCTCTTTGTTGGGTTTGATAAGTTCTTGGGCCTGATATTCCAGACATGTTTTTGATGTGGTAACCTGGACATATGATCTTAATTTACTTCAGGAATTTCATAGGCAGAATAATTTTCACTTTTAGGAATGAATGAGTTTTTAGTCTGTGTCTTATGTTTGATGCTTGATAGGTAGCTGGTTTATATGCTCAACAAGGGGCAAGACCATTCTGCCTATACTCATATTCAAAATGGAGCTCAATGCTGTTGTAAATGGTCACCCAGGGCTTGGAACAGACTGAGGAAGCATTGTTTTGTGCAATGTGAAGGAACTAGATCAGAGCACATCCTGATTTGGCAAGAACGTGGAGTCAGACAGTTTTCCTATTTATTACTTCCTTATCCCAACTGAGACTCAGCATCATACACTTACTGTCAATTTCAAAATATAAATTGTTTGCAGAGTTCATACTTTCTCAACATTTGAAACTTTTTCTAGGGCCAAAAGTTGGTTTGAAGTCCATTTTTGATGTTGGCCACTACCATAGTCCTTACAGCATAATAAATAAAGGACTCCACCAATCAAAATGTTGGCAATTCATGACACAGTTACCATTAGCCAAGAAATATGATCAATTAATGTCAGGATTTCTAGCATTATTAAATATTGTAATAATTTTATACTGAAATTAGTTCTTATTTTATGTTAGCTTTTAATGGGAAGTGGAAATTTGGATATTAAAAGTGCATAGTTTAATGAAATGTAAGCTCCTTCTGGAATTAAAAATCTCTTTTTGGTATTTATTTTCATGAAGTGTGAATATGAAAAGTTCTTCCAAGAAGATGGAGAAAATTGTGTAAATACTTCAAAACTTCAATAGTGGATTTATAAAGAGAGTTCTCTCTATATACATTGATTGCACCTGAATACATATGTATGACATCATTTAGTTAATACAGTTTCCTGAAGCCATTCCAGGAGTTGTTAAATGTAGAGATCCTCCTTACTTTTTCTAAGATCACCCTTTAATAGATGACACGGATATACTCCATACTCCCGGGTTCCAATCCCTGAGCTGTGACCCATTGGGGGTCAAAGGACCTCTAACTGCCAGGTTCCACCCACAGGATACTCTAAGTGCCCTAAATGCTGGACCCTGTCTTCACCCTACATAGTAATAAGCCCTATCTCTGGACATGAAATTCCACCAATCTCCACCTTGGAAAGCTCCACTTTGAAAAGTTCACCCCCTTCTCAAGAAACTCTATCTAAGCCCTATTTCTTGTTCAGTTTGCTGCCGTTTCTTGCCCAAGCAAAGGTGATCACACTCCTATTTTTTCCCTTCCAATAAATCTCTCGTGTGAGGTTTGTTGTGTGGTGTGACTTTGTGTTATTCCTTGGCTCCTGGCTGTCAGGATCTCAGAAAATATTTTATATACTCTGTTATTCTTGCACTGTTGCTTTGATACTGTTCATATAATAACCATAGAAGAGAAAGTGGGGTGAGAAGTTTTAGGACTTCACCTACCACTTACTGGCTGAATTTAGAAAGTCATTTTAGTTGTAGAATACACTATCTTCACTGCTAGCTTCTGGAAACACCAAAAACTTAAGTATTATAATAACGCACAGGCAAGGAGGCCTGCAGCCACAGATATCAGGAGAACGAGACTGGGTGTCAGTGTCTAAGGAAGCAGCACAACATCCCAAGTATACACACGGACTTTGGACTCCCATAGAACAATGTGAGGTGCACTCTCACCCTGAACTCTTGGGGAAGGGTCTAGGCCCTGCCCTATATGAAATGACAGACTATGGACACCCCCATGGAGGGCCTCACCCTCCCTGGGGGAATGAGGGGATAACGGGGGGGGGTTGGGGGGAGGGCACGGGAGGAGGGGAGGGAATGGGAGAGGGACCTGGAACTGACTTGTGAAGCAACCTCGTTTCTTATCTAAATTTTAACTGGAAAATAAAATAAAATAAAACAGTACTAAAACAAAAAAAATAAGTAAGCTTAAGGACTCAGTCCAGCAGCCATGTTTTAGCAAGTCATGAATTTCTTGATTAAGAACCTATGCAGCATCCAAAGGACATTTTCTTCTGCCCCACTGGCCATGTCTGGGCTCACTACATGTAACTAGGTAGAGGAAAGGTGGTCTAAAGGTCGCATAACATCTTAATAAACAAGGCTGGTGATGAGCACATGAGCTCATGTGCTTGCATGCGTGCTTACCCGTGTGTGTGTGTGTATGTGTGTGTGTGTGTGTGTGTGTGTTTGTGCATCATGTGTGAGAGAACAGGTATATGTATCTTTGGGCATTTGTGTGTGTGTGTGTGTGTGTTTGTGCATCATGTGTGAGAGAACAGGTATATGTGTCTTTGTGTGTGTGTGTGTGTGTGCATGTGTATGTGTGTGTGTATGCACCAGGTGTGAGGGAACAGGTATATGTATCTTTGGACTTGTGTTCGTGTGTGTGTGTGACTGAAAGACTGGGTTTTGTTGAACAACTTAATGTGACCCCAGAGCCCCGTCCACTGCTGTGGCACCATCAGAATAGTTTCCCTTCTTTCTTTCTGCTTCGGAAATTTAAGAAGAGATGTTTTATCCAGCATCGAGGAGTCTGCTGTTGCTGTGGCTTTCCTTCAGTGCATTGCTGTAAGTGTACTGCAGTGCTTGAAGCAACCACATGCCAACCCAGACTTCAGGGACCTGCCAAGCCCCTAGGTCTGGACAAAAATTCCAGTGCTCATGCCCATTACTTTAAATTGGAGCTTCTGCAAAGCTGATAGAATCCTGCAGGCCGTATGGAAAACTCATGAGTAGGTTGCTGTTGAGTACTTCTCACATCTGGTTTGGTTATGAGGAAAAGTCAAATTGGAGCTAAACAGGAAAAAGCTGATAACCCATTTTGCAAAAAAGATGGAGATAAATGCAAAGAAAAAAAGAAAAGTTCACAGCAACTTGATTTTTCCAGAATCTGCTAGTCTCAATTGATTAGAAATGAACAAACAAAACAGCCATCAAACAACGTCATTGTCAAGAAAACTTATTAGCATACTGATGTCCAGCTTCTCACACTTCAGGAAAAACAGACCTGTTTTTGAAAGTCAGTTGAAAAGAATT